AAAAAAAAAAAAAAAAAAGAGCACATATTCCAGCCCATTTCCACATTTCCGCCAGACAACCAGGTTATGTCAGTTCTCTTACTTATTTTTTCTGCCTTTAAGACTTTGGTGATATTATCCATAAATAACCTTTTCTATGGTATGTTTAGGTCAAAAATTCGGGCTCAAGAGCAAATGAAGAAATTCGTAGCAGATCTCCTAACAAGGAAGGTAAGTTAATGAATTTCATAGTATTAATGTTGGCATTAATCGTAGTTCCCATTGGTTGAGTGCCTCTTATACACCAGGCCCTGTGCTGATTACTTCACAAATTTTCTCTTACTTAATTCATATCATTTGGTAGGTATTAACAGCATTACTTCTCTAGCTGGGGAAACCAAGGCTGGAAGAGGTCCAGTGCCTTGTTCAAGGCCCTGAGCTTATAAGTGGTGTCTTGCCATAAATAGCTACTAGAACTTTGCCAGTAACTTCACATTGGACTTAACCCATTGTGAATACAGAATGTAGAGCTGCCTGAGGTTTGTGCTGTAGGAGAAGGTCCGTGCTGAGCACTTTGTGTTTACTTCTGATGGGCCATCTCAAGTTAGCAGATCAGCTGTGTCACATTTAGGAGTCTTCTCCTAGGAGTCAGGCCTCATTCCATGAAACCTGTGGAGGCTGCCAACTCCAGAGGGATAATTCTCCTCCCAAACAGAACACAGAATGTTGTTGATACCTTATTCCAAGAGTGGGGAAAGAGTCTTTTTACAATAATATATTATACCATATTTCAAATCAAAGTAAAGCAGCAACAATTATAAACACTCATGTACTCATCACCTACTTTTGTCATATCTTTAAAAATTTAGTATATGTGCTTCAATTTTTTTTTTTAAATGTTACAGATACAGTTGAAATCACATATGCCTCGCTGATCCCAATCTCTTACCCTGCTCAAAAGGGAACCACTATTCTGCAATTGCTGTATATATCTCCATAAAAAATATGTAGCCCGATGTTGCATGCTTTAGGAAAAGGGTATCACATTAGAGAAACTGTCTCCGCCTTATTTTTTCCTTTGGCCTTATGCTCTGAAATTTTGTCGTGGTGGTATGTATAACTCTAGTTACTTTATTTCAATTGCTGTTTGGTATTACATTGTGTGAATATACCACTGTTACTCTTTTTTGCTTTTGTTGGTGGACATTTGGGTTTTTTGCAACTTTTCCCAATTGCAGAGTGCTGCTGTGCATGATCTTGTACCTGTCTCCCAGTGTCGTGTACCTGGAACTTAGGTATGGGATTGCTGAGTTGGTGGGCACCTCTTCAGCTTTACCGAATGTGCCAAATTGTCCACAGGTGGTGTACCAATTGTAACTTCACACCTTGTCCTGTGTTTGGTATTACCAGCCTGGTGAACGTTTGCTAATCTGACAGCTATGAAATAATACCTACTTGTTTTCCTTGGATACGTCTTCACACTGTGTTGCTACATGAGCTGGAAGGAAATGGCCCTGAAGTCTCTATGCAGAGTCCAGTGACTTCATCCCTCCATGAACCCGTTTACTTATATTCTACAAAGGGGCATCACGGAGCTTGCCTGATTGCTCCGAGGACCCCATCACAGTGATTCATAGAGTGTCCTTCCCGCTGCCATGCAGACCCCTAAAATAAGTATTGGACTGACTAAATACTTAATATTTTTTTTTCTTTTTTGTATTTATTAATCAGAGATATCCAGGAGCAGAAAAGACAACACAGAAGCCTTAAGAGATCACAGCGTTGAAGCAAATCCTAAAGAGGTGGGTTTTCATAAGAAACTCAAGTATTTCATGTTCTGTACAGAGTGCTTTCGGTGGTGCACAAAGAAAGGCTTTACTTCTTTGTATGTATTAAAAATTAAGCAGATCTCCGTATCACTTTTATCTGTTTATGCTCTTGTGTAGGTAATTATTGGGATGTGTCCACGTTGTACTGTCAGAACGGGTAAATGTTATTTCTTACTGCCTTTGCTCAGCTCTTTGCTGGGCCACTGAAAGAGGAGACGAACAGTACCAATTAATTTAGGACATGCTGTCCTAAATTTAGGACTGATTGTGAGACATAGCTTGACTTCAGAGATGGGAAAAGGAGAAATTTTTTTTTTTAAACATATTTTGGAATGGTTGGAATACAGTGACTAACCAGAAACAGATTTAAATGTTTTGTATGGATTTACATTCAAATCCAAAAAAAAAGACTCAACCTTAACAAAATAAGTCTCATCCAAATCTAGATGCCGAAAGTGTTATTCTAGATTTTTAAAAAACTTATTTCAAAGACTAAAGCTAATAAAATGTGCTGTCATTTCAGTAGATTGGTTGCAAATTCTATTGACTTTAATATATAGTCATTCTTGATTCCAGGTTGAAGAGGAAGAAAGACAGATGCCTAAAAGAAAAAGAAAGAAGCATTATCCCTCTTCAGATGATGAACTGGGTATTTAGAATATATATATTCCTTTTTCAGACATCTTTGAAGATCATATTATTTTTACATCCAAAATACTGGGCCAATATCATAGAAAATTTTTGAGAGGGGTAATTGCTTACTTTTACAACTCTGGAGTCCAGTTTGTATCCAGACTGGCTTGGCACCTCCAGGGTTTTTTCTGAACTTGATTTAGAAACTACATTGTTACCTGCGGATGACCCAACCCCTGGAACTCACACAAACCCAAGCTCCCTCTGTAACCTGTGCCTGGGACCCAGCCAGGTGCCACTGAGCTCCTTATTTTATATCATCAACAAGACGCCCCATAGAGCTAGTGAAGCACTTTAGTAAAGGTTCATGTAATAGCCTTTCTGTGCTTCATACTATTGATTTTCCCATGGTCTATAACAGTGCTATCCAATAGAACTTGCCACAATGATGGAAGTGTTCTGTATTTGTTTTGTCTAGTACAGTAGACACTAGCCATGTGTGATTCTTGAGCAATTAAATGTGGTTGGTGTGAATGAAAGACTGGATATATAATTGCATTCAGTTTTAATTTAAATTTCAACAGCCACATGTAGCTAGTGGCTACCATATCAGATGGTACAGAGACTCATACTTTGATACCTTACATGAAGTACAAATGTAATGAATATTAAGTAATATGTGAGAAAGAATGGATAAATACTTTACTTTTTTGGTTAGGAGTGTGTAATTATTTTTTAATTCTTCAGTTCATATTTTAGGTACTATTCATGTTATTTTATACACATTGATAATAACTATGTGAGTAAGGCATTATCACCATTTTATAAAGAAATTAAGATTCGGCTAGATGTGACTTGACTCCCACCAAGTAAATCTGATTCCTAAGCCCATGGTCTCAATCACTAAGCTATACCTCCTAGGTGTTAACTCATTTAGGAAGTTAAAAGTATCTCTAGGAATTCTGTATGCCCTAAGCCTTTTCCATAGAACCTGCTGGTTTATTGGTGTCCGCTAAGTATTTGTGGATTTTTTATTTTATTTTTTATATTTTTACTTTTTTGGTTTGCCAGGGCCACAGTCAGTGTTCAGTGCTTAAATCACATGATGTAAATACATTTAGAATAACTTTTTGGCTTCACTGTATCACAAGACTATAAAAAAGAAGTCTTAAACGGTCTTAAAATAGAACCATGCATTTCATTTTTCATTTAGCTTTTATTCTTTTGTGATTCTGTCCAAACTGATTTACAGATGATAATCCAGATGTCCTAGATTCCAAAATAGAAACAGCACAGAGGCAGTGTTCTGAAACTGAACCACAAGATACAAAGGTATTCTTTCCCTGTATTAATTTTAAGTTTGGGGGGGTAACCTAATTGCATCACTGTGAACACTTACTATAATACTCTTTTTCCCTTCTAGTATTCTTTTTACTTTATGTATCTCGAATATTTACTTTATTATAAAAGGTATCTTTTTCAGGGTCCTGCAAAAAAAAAAAAATACTGCACTTTATAGTTTTAAACTGTAAGAGTGTATTAATGTCACAGTCTATGTATAACCATTGCTCAGGTTTCTGTTCAGTGATGTCATTGACTTCAGGCTTCTAGGTGCTTCCTTCCAAAGTGTCACATGCTTTACCACAGATGTGCTTGCACCAAAACATTGAAATACAGTGACACCTATTATGTTAAAGTTTTAATACCCTGCCTTCTCTCTACTTTGCTTCCTGCCCCTAAAAGATCAGTAGTCCAAGGATTGGCCTCACTCACTGCCTTTTTTTCATATGGTCTTATTTTCATCTGATGACTCAGGGAGGTGGCTCATAAATTTTTATTTCTGCTCCTGCTCTCTAGGCCCGGATTTCTCCATTTCCTGGTAGATACCTCTTCTTAGGCATGCTTCCATTTCTGAGACTCAGTGCTGCTCATTGTCTATTCCGAACTAGTTCCATCTTCTTTTTCTCTCTTTCCCTAATTTAATTTTTTCCACCATGTTCCAGAAGTATTTAAGTCAGCTTATAAAAATATATGCAGTTGAACTCCAGCTTACTAAAACCAGTTCAAAGTCTCTGTCTTCCACCAGTGACTGATGAACTAAATAAAAAGTAGTAAAAGAATTTTAACAACCAAGGAGAGAGTCGTGTATCGTCATGAATTTCAATTGGTCGTGGTGAAGGAAGGAAACAGGATTTTAACCCCATCCTTCCCCCTGCCCTATCTAGAACAAGAATCCTGAGACAGTACTCCTAAATTTGGAGAGAGGCAGCAATATTGAAGGGTTCTCTTTTTATTTTCCCTTCAGTTTCATGTAAGTTTTTTAATGCTGAATTTAAGTAAAATATACCAACCATTTTCACTAAAAAATCACATCTAGATAATGTTTTCAATGTGTATAAGACAGAATTCTGATTTTATATTTTAATTTGTGTGTGGGTTTGTTGTTTTTGTTTTTTTACATACTATATTAGTATTATAGTACAACATTTTGGTATTTCATGCTGAAAACTGTTTTGCAACTAAGGCTGAATGACTCAACTGTTGAGAGATCATTGCTCTAAATCAGCCCAGCCGGATACCCTGAAATTCTCTTAGGTACTTTCCCCCTTTATCCCTTCCCCCTAGTCCCCTCCTCCACCACCCAATAAAGAAAAGAAATCTGTTGCAAATTCCTATCAGTTCCTTCTTTGGAGTTTCTCTCAAAAAGATAAAATCCAGGATGAGGGAGGAAAAGACTGATTCTATTTTGCCGGGAAAAAAAGAATGCCCTTGTTGCTTTATGGTTGAGCTTTATCTCATGCTGTTCTGCCTTAAGAATTGGTATCTCTTTGTATAGCCTCACTAGCTGGAAAAAATAGTTACTTTTTAAAAATTCTGCAACAAACATAAAAAACTGCTAGAAATTTGTTTTTGAAATAGAAAGGAAAACTTTGGGGAGGACAAGTGGAGGCAGGGTTTAGAAGCTTCTTCTATTGTTCCACTTCTCCACAGGAGGAGAACACTGGAGATTTGGAAGAATTCTCTAAAACAAGTTCTAAGACAAACAGCACTGCTTCAAGGGCCATGGACGAAAAGGGTGAGTAATATACAGACTTAGATGAATTGTTTTGAGATGAGACTCCTCTCTCACCGGGCTTCACGGCCTCAACTGTGGTTGACTCGTTTGCACTCCCTTGAGAATACACTTCATACTCAAGGGGCTTGGGAATCATTTTGAATTTGGATCCTAACTCAACCCAGAGTGTGCTTCCTATCAGTTAGCCAGACTCTTGCTTATTAACTTGGGTGGTGTAGGCCTGCGATGGTGTGTGTGTGTGTGTGTGTGTGTGTGTGCGCGCGCATGTGTGACTGGGGCTGTGCAGGCCACCTGGGCAGGGCTGGTGGCCATGCGGCTGACTGTGGTCCCGGCCCTGAACCGAGCTCTGCTGTCTCTGCAGACGAATACAGCAGTGGTGAAGCTGCTGGCGAAAAGACCGAGCAGAATGACGATGACAACATGAAATCTCAGGAGGTAGGGGATGTCTTTCATATCTTCCTGTTCAGATATTTAAGTACTGACGACAAATAAACTGCATTAAATGCTGTTCCCTAAAGTTTTGTCAAATGCTTTAAAGGAGTTCATTTATTTAGTGCAGTGGGACACCCTTTCATACTGTGCATTTCATCAGTGTCACTTTGATTAATTTTCATTTCATCCAAACATTTGTATGAGACCTAGTTCTGTCAGGACCGCCTAGGATCAGCCCAGAGCTTTACCTCAGTGTTTAAGTCACGTTCCTGTCCTGGCAGCGGGGCACGGCCAAGCCAGGCAAGTGTTTAGGTCAGAGAACCGGGGCTGCTGAGCCCTGGAGTCTCCACAGGATGAAACGGGAGCAGTACAGCAGGGGGGTATGCGGAAGGCCTGTAGCTGGTGCCCATGGGACCCAGTTTCGTGAGGCCAGGTGGGGGATTCCTGGGAGGCTGCACGAGCAGGCCAGCCTCCAGCCTTCCTGCCTCGGGATTTGCAGGGAGCCCAGTGGGGGGCAGAATCCACCGGCCTGAGAGAGGCCCATAAATCAAGGGGAACAACCTATACACCGGCCACATCTAGATAACCATTACCAAGTTTGCCTGTCTGATACCTTTTTTTTAGATTTTATTTAGATTCAAGTTAGTGAACATTTAGTGTATTACTAGTTTCAGAGGTAGAATTTAGTGATTCATCAGTTGCATACAATACCCAGCACTCATTACATCAAGTGCACTCCTTAGTGCCCACCCCCCAGTTACCCCCTCCTCCCCCAACTCCCCTCCAGCAACCCTCAGTTTGTTCCCTAGAGTTATAAGCTAAGCATCTCTTCTGGTTTGCCTCCTTCTCTGTTTTTATCTTATTTTTCCTTCCCTTCCCCTATGTCCATCAGTTTTTTTCTTAAATTCCACCCGATACAACTTCTTAATAGTTCTTTTTGTTTTCTCACACTTATGTGTGAGAAGTTCAGTAGCCTCCTTTATTTTTCATAAAGGGTAACATTTGGTCACAAGTGACTAGGACTAAATCCAAATTTAAATGTACATGCATACCGATTGCAGAAGTCAAAGTGGACACGAAGCGCTCACTTCCGTCACCTCATCGTCTCTCATTCCTCACTACTGTGTGGATTCATAGTACAGTTCTCAGTGTTTGTCAGGTGATGGAATGCACGCAGAGAAATGAAGCACAGGGTCATGTATTTTTTTAAGTGACAGAGTTGGGATCGGAGAGCTCTGAGGAGGGAACTCTAAATCTCATATTGAAAACTTTCATTGCTCTTTTTTTTCCTTTCCCCCTTAGGAAGATCAGCCAGTAATTATTAAAAGGAAAAGAGGAAGACCTCGTAAACACCCCTTAGAAACAACGTTAAAAACAAGTAGGTATTTGTTGTGTTTTCGGTTCACATGCAGGACATTTTCAGGGGCGCCTGGCTGGCTCAGTCGGTAGAGCGTGCCGCTCTTGGTCTCAGAGTCGTGAGTTCAAGCTCCATGTTGGGTTTGGGGCCTGCTTTTTAAAAAAGACATTTTCAAACTGACTTTCTAAGTGAGATTTTATTTCTTATTTTTTAGAAGAAGACTGCAAAACGGATACTAGCATTGTCACTGTAAGTAATTGTGACAGATGAGGACTCTGGGGGTATTGGCCCTTGACCTGGAGAGTGTATACTGCAGTATTCGTATTTCCCACTACTTTTTTTTTTAAATATTTGAAAAGCATTAAAATAATCCCTTAAATAAAACGCTGAATAACCATTTAAATAATATTTCAATTAATGTCTTTACATAAACATATTGTTCTTCAGTCTGATCCCATCCTCACATGTGAGTTTTCTTATATAAAAATTAGGGACTTAACTTCTTGTGGTCATCCTTGATTAAAATATAGAAAATAGTTGTTTTATATGGTTTTTAGATAATGGCTTCTTTATGGAAACCTCCAGTGTGTCTCACCTCTTACTACTGTCTGTGGAGTTCCTTTCATAACAAAATGTACACTGATTTCAAGGCAGAAAAATCCTCAGGGACACTTTATCTTTTTAAATTTTCTTTATCTTTGACCCTGAAGTGTGTAGTCAACAAAATCATTGTATCAAGACTTCATTGCATGACAGCATTATTAGAAGGACAAATTTGTGTCCAGTGTCCTACCAAAAGCAAATGAGGTTCCAGCCTCAGCTCTGCCCCTTACTCCCAGAATTGTGATACTGGGCTGATCATGTAACCCTCTTGAGACTCTGATTTCCTTGAACGTAAAGTAGCATAACAGTACTCATCTCAATAGAATTATTACAAGACAGCAAAACCATAGCTCCATGGGCAAACGCGTTTGCCAGAATGTAAGACAGTGTGGGGGATACGAACAGTGGCTGGACCACGTCACCTCCCATGGTCCTCTCCCAGCGTCACGGCAGGGTGGCTGGAGAAGGGGCTCGTGGCAGCCCTAATTCTCCTGTCGAGAGACCATGTGTTCAGAAGCATGGCATCCATATTCACTTGGTAGTCTTAATCAGTGGCAAAAGGTAGGTTCCAAATACTCTGCCTACGTAATAGAGGTCCTAAACCTGCCTTGCAGAATGAATGACTTTCTTTGTGATGATGACTAACTGCTGACTTCAGTTTTTTGTTGGTTTAAATTTAGGTAGAACAGTCTCCACCTGGTGGCAAACCAAAATTAACACAGACAGGTGTGTACCTAGAGCATTGCTCTGTGTGGGATCTAAAGAAGGGGCGAGGGCAGCTGGCTGTGGGGACGGTTTTAGAGTTTCATTGTTTCTCAATGAACTTGGTTAAAACGGTTGTCCTTGTAGCCATGGGAGACTACAGCTGTTGGCTTTTCTTGTGATCTGAGTCCTTCTTGGTTTTGGAAGCCTCCAGAGAGGAGGGTGAAGGCAACAAAGAGTAAAATAGGGATGACGCTGCTGTGTCCAAATCATAATTTACTGGATATGTTTAAGGGAGAAGTAGATCAGCCTGGGAACTAGGCACTCTTACCAGGAAGACGGGAGTTTACTCAAGAGCCTATTCTCAGGAGAAGAATTTTGAAAGCAGCCTGTGTAGCTTCTAAAGCCAGAGTGCAAGAGATAAAACTGTTTCAGTTATTTTTGTCCTCATTCCAAGGAGAAAAATAATCCAGAATGTTGACAATGATTGGCTCTGGGTGGTGGGATAATAGGAACATTCCATGTTGTTACCATTCTCTGAATTTTCCAGAATTTTTACAATGTGTATATATTAATTTCATGGTTAAAATTTTTTTACATAAAAACAAGAAGACCAGGGCGCCTGTAGTTCAGTTGGTTAAGCATCCAACTCTTGATTTTGGCTCAGGTCACGATCCCAGGCTCATGAGATCAAGCCCCATGTCAGGCTCCAGGCTCATCAGGAAATCTGCTTGAGATTCTTTCTCCCTCTCCCTCTGCCACTACCCTCTGCACACCTGCTCGCTCGCTCGCTCTCTCTCAAAATCTTTTTTTTAAAAAAGGCAGCAAGGCCTTTTGGTGGGTTTTAAAGGGTTGGCATAGGTGAAAAAGATGCATGTGACAACTGTTTTGGATAAAATAAATAGCTGGTTAGATCAGGAAAGTGCATATTCTCATCAAGGTAAACAAATAATGTAATTTAGAAACCTTTCCACATAGTTAACTGTGTGTGATCTTGTGATTGTATTTCAGTTTTTCTTGTCTCTTGGAAAATTAAGGTTGATTTATTTTTTTTTTTGCAAGGGAAGATTCTGCTTCTGTTTGGTTTTTAACCAGTTTTTATTCATAATTTTATAATATTTTTAATCCATACAACAAGAAACCTTTATAATTTGAATGTCCTGTAAGGACTCTAATTTGGGCTGTGTGATTAATGTTTTGGCAGTGATTTTCCGAGTCTGGGTAATGATGACCCATTAAAACAGGCTTCTTCGCTGTCAGCCTTCTTGGTGTAATTCTTCTGTCTACATCAGTGTACTGAACTTGCAAAAAGGGTAATACATGGACCTCACCACCAGTGAGAAGTACCTTTGGGTTGTCGAGTGTCTAGGGAACATCCTCATTCAACTTCAAACAGTGCATTAAAGTAAACTTCATTTTTTTTTCGCAAGATATGTTGTCAGGAAACTGTAACATCTACAGAAAGCAAATATATAAAGAATAGGCATACACAACCTAAAATAGGCTTAAATGTATACTTTTCTAATTGCTCTGATGTAACTGTTTATAGTCAAGAGAACTAGCTTTCGCACTACTTATTAGTTCTGTGACTGAACAAATTGCTTAAATCAAGTTACTTAAGTCTCGTTTTTCCTAACTACCAAAGTGGGGTCGTGACAGAACGGGAGCCACGTTGAGATCTCAGTGAGATCTATAATTCTGACCTGCGGGTCCTGGTGTGTTTTGAGGACTCCCCAGATGTCCCTTTCCTCCTCCCTTTCTGGGTGCAGAGCATTTGATCTAAAACAGACCATACAGGTGGTCAAACCCAGGTCTTTATCTTACAGATGAAAAACTGAGGCTTGAGGAATTTAAGTAATTTTCCCAGATTGCGTAGGTTATTTGTGACAAGTCTGAAGTGCAAATTTGGAGGTCCTGACTTGCATTCAAATGTACTTTCTGCTAGGTATTTTGACACAAACTTTACTTTCCTGATACAAAATAATGATAAATTGTAAAACAGTGCATTAGTCAGCACTGGTACATTCAGAGACAACAAGCCAGACTGTTGAAAGTTAATTTTACACTAAGCTAGTGTTAATGCAGACATTTTCCTTTTCTTAAAGATGAGTCCAATAAAGAAACCACTACCCTACAAGAAAGAAGTATAAGCAACGTAAGTGTCAATTTTCTTATCAGGGTATGTCCTTTAGGAATCAGCTTAGTATATGTTCAGTTAACCATCCTTTCAACTTTAATTTTATTGCTTCTAGGATGATGGTGAAGAAAAAACAGTAGCAAGTGTGCGGCGGAGAGGAAGAAAGCCCAAGCGTTCACTCACTCTGTCAGATGATGCTGGTATGTTTCTGACACATTCTTAATTGTGGGGTCTTACCATTTTAAAATCACCTTTTTAAGGGTTTTTCTCTGGATGAGGAAAAATCCAGTGGGGCACAGCCAGTATTAATATTACATAAATATGTGTGAAATGGCTCTAATCCCATGTCAGAAATGGTACATCCCAGATGCTTTTCTGAGTACATGTGAATTTTTCATGAATGCTGGCTGTGAACTGCCTAAGTAAACTATCCCAAATGTGTTTGAGATTAAGTTAAACAGTTGTGAATTGCAAGTGCTGAAACAAAAGGAAATGGAAAACCACTTCTTCTGCCTCCAAGTCCCTAATATCCTACATTCTGAACTCCATGACTCTCCTCTGGAAGTGTCTTGGGGAATTGTACAATCCAGGTGTTACTCTTCTATTTGAACAGAATCTTCAGAGCCGGAAAGAAAACGCCAGAAATCAGTTTCTGAAGCCACTGAGGACAAGAAAGACCAGGAGTCTGAGGAGGAAGAGGAAGAGGAGGAAGAGGAGGAGCCCTCGGGAGCCACTACAAGGTCCACCACCAGATCAGAGGCTCAGAGGTAACGGGGACAACAGAGAGCTTCCAAAGGCCTTCACCAGCTTCTCCGTCAGACAGCAGCTTTGGCATTCAGGGGATTCTCTTTTCCTTGACTCGCTCAAGCCACGGTGTAAGCCGTTTCCTTTCGTTTGTATCTTCAGCAGAGAGCACATGCTCTTAGCCCTCGGACACTGCAGTTCTTCTTGGAGAAACCCGCCTTCCATCTTAAACCACTGTTGAGGATCACAGCAAAGTCTGCCAGGTTCTAAATGCCTGTTTGGTGGAACCCATTCAGTTCCTGTGCAGATATTTATTAAGCCTCAGTAGGTGTCTCAGATACTGTGCTGGGCCCATGGGTGAAAGCAGAGCCTGTGTCCAACACAGTCCCAACATGTAGCTCGCTCAGCCCCAGTGCGAGAGGGAAGGCAGGCGTACCCATCACCATCGTAGGACTCATGTAATTCCACAGTGCTGTGGAATAGGTTGACCATGTAAAATTGCCCATATGTGACCATTTTTTATTAACATAGCTTAACTTCATGTTTCCCAAAGTTTATTCTCCCAAACCCCAGTATAGCCAGAAGCCCCTGGAAAAAAGAGTGCCATGGTCAAATGAGTTTTGGGAATGCCGGACAATTCCTTCTCCTTCGTAAGTCACAGCACAAATTAAAATATTAAGGGCTCAGCATAGTCCTAAAGGAAAAAAACCTATTTAACTTTGTCCAAACAAATATTATTTGCCAATTATTCCCCCACCCACACCCATTAATATCAATCAATGTTTTTTCCCCACTGCACATTTTGAGACAAGTTGCCTCCGTGTACAATTTATTAACTTTACTAAAGCAAGAATATTTTCCACTTTCAGGGTGATTCACAGGCTGTTAATTTGGTATCATCTTCTGTCATTTCATTAGCCAACATTAATCAAAAAGTTCAGGGACATTTACTTCAAGAGTATCACTTACTAAACCTGTCACTATAGTGTTACAGTAATAATGTGTTTATATGAAGGCTTATATTTAGCCTATTTCTATTCACTTCATACTTGTACATTACTAACCACTCATGCCATGGTTTGATTTCTCAAAAGAATCAGATTTTAGAGCCATAAGACTTTAAGAGCTCCCATGGCTGAAGGTAAGGTGGGGGTCTCATATTTGTTTTTTAGATGGAACAACTCAAATAAATAGAAGAGACAGAATCAAGTTTCCTGCTGATGGGAGAGGGTGGGCGCGCTGGAGCACTCCACCCCAGCACCACCGCCTCCATAAACACTCAGCAGAGATCATCCAGGACAGTTCTGTAGGCCTTCTTGCCGTCTTTGAGTGTCTAAAAGTAGCAGTCAGCTTTGCCTTTTAAAATTCGTTCTTTGAAAACAAGTCTTACTTGACTTAGGATTCTGTAATCACTTAGACTGTCAGTGCTCTTCCTTAATGTGCCTTAAGAACTTTTGATTTACAAATGGATCCTTTTCTCTTAGTTTAGATTCCTTGGCATCAGTCGATTGGTTCCTGGGCTCTGGCATCTTCGTAATTGCAGATTCTTGAGGTTGGCTGGGGTCTTCGTGGGTTAGTCCTGCTGACCGATCAGTGCCTCAGTGTCTACACCAGCATCCCCTCTGCACAGGTCCTTCTGCTCGCAGGCTCCACGGGCAGGGAAGCTGCCTCCTCAGCGTTCTCTTCCTTGTGTCCGGTAGAAGCTGGCCTCCCTGAGGTGTCTGCTCATGTTCTAGTTCTTCTCTTGGGGCTTCTCTATAGCTTTTCCCAAAACATTGGAGGGCAACTTCCAGGTCTTCTCTTATTTTGATCCCCCTCCTCACCCCTGTTTGTACTGGAATTTATCTGCTCTCCTATGGAAGCACAGGTTCTGCAGAGCGTGAGCTGATGAACTCATAAGAGGGTTGCCCCACCTTATCCTGGGTGGACGTGCTTCCGCGGGCACCCAGTCTCCGTTCCCTCAGCTGGACCCACACACCAGCTCAGCAAGTCCCTTCTCTTGCAGTTTCGCTGGCAAGCCTGCTCTTCTGTGCCCTGGTCCTTATGCAGTTGTCTCCTTGGACCAGTCGCAGGGCCTGACCAGCTGGCCTTGTGAATTGTACTGCCTTGTACTGTCCTGGCCCCTTGTTCTACTCTGATGAGCACTTGAGGGATTGTTACCTTGTTGGCCAGGGTATTGTTTATTATCACAGAGTCATCTTTCTCTAAATCATGACAAAATACCCCGCAGAGTAAAAGCAAAGACACCATCATGTAGGCAATTAGTTGTGGGTGACATCAGACCCACTTTTTACCAACAGTCCAGAAAACCAACCATTTTTTGCTTTTCGTCCCCATTCTCTGACTCACCCTCGAGGAGCGTCGTCCTTCCTGCAGAGGCCCCGGGCCTGGCGTGTTCAGGGTACCGCTGCCCGGTGTTTCTGTCATCTGTTTCAGAAAGCATCATAGCAAGCCATCAGCATGTGCAGCATCCACGCTTGGCAGCCCAGAAACCATTTCTGCTAGAAATCGCCAAATGTTAGCAAAAGAGAAGTTATCTACCTGCGAAAAAGTTAGTAAATCTCCCCTATTAGGAAGGTAAGTCCCTGCTTACACTTGAAGTCATTTTTAATCCCCAGAGACTGTTTTTGTATGGTAATGTTTTCTTCCCAAGTTCCTTTAAGATTTTTCTCTTGCCAGATAACTGTCTTTTGGGCATCATTGGTTTTCCAAATGGAAACCTACTCCAGAAGGTATTGCAGGGGCTGCCGAAGGAACCTCAGGCCTCACTTCACGGCCTCCTCCAGACTTGCCTTTGAGCTTTGTGAGCCTTATGCACTGACTCCCGTCCACCAAGACCAAAGGCGAGGCGTGTTTCTTTCCGGGTGGTTGCAGGTCCAAGTACTTGGCTAAACCGGCACAGCATGGCCAGTCGCGTCACAGCCGAGAATGGTTTCTGCTTTAGCCAGAGTGTTGGAGAGGCGATGGGGTAACAGTAAAACAGACCCTTCCGGCTCAGCCCCTGGCCGGCTCCCACGGTCCGCAGCCTCATTCATCTTACGAGCTTCCCGCAGGCTGCGCCACCCCTCCTTTTGGCTTGTGCTGGTTCTGGAGTGCCCTTGCTGTCGGCCACCAGCAAGCCAGGCACTGCCATCCTTCACACTCCCTCCTCAGGAGGCCCCCGCTGCTTCAGTTCCTCTCTGTCCTTCCCCCGGCGCTTCCGGCCTGCTGTGCACAGGATGGTGGTGTATGCCCTCTCTGAACTCCAAGCTTCTTCCTTGAGATGCGGGTCTTGACTTACTTTCTGTACATTATAGCAGCAACAGATAAAAAGACTCTTCACAGTGTACAAAAACTGTTGTGACATCTCTTACAACCGTTGATCTTCCTGGCACACGGTAATGTAGGTACGTGTTATCAGCCCCGTGTTCTAGAAAGGGAAGCGCACTAAAGTGCCAGGCATCTTTCATATGGATTCTTCCGTTTTACCCTCATTAAGTGAAATGTTCTATTTATCCTTGTTTTATAAGTGAGGGAAGGAATCTCAGGAAGGTCTGGTCCGTATTTCTCAAAATGGACTTGCAGACTAGTTGGGGAGACTCCGTGCTAAGGTTCTGGTTCTGTAGGTCTGGGTTGGGCCTGAGCGTCTGCATTTCTAACAGCGCCCGGGTGGTGCTGGTGCCCCTGGTCACAGACCACGCCACGTCGGGGGCGGGGCGGGGCCTGGCTGACCCCCCGAGCTCGCACAGCCCGGAAGAGGCCCCCTGACTCCCCGCTGTTGTCCCTGCTGCGTGGCGTCCAGCACAGCGCTGGCGCCCAGCTACTCGCCGGGTAGGTGCCGAGTGGGCGGCCGGCGGCTCTCCCTGGCATGGCCCGAACAGGAGAGCAGCAAACACTGCTCGTCAGCCCTTCCCCACGCGTGCGTGTCTGCAGACTCTGCGTCCTGTACAGCAGTACGTGACTCGGTTTGAGTTTATTTCCTTGGGCCGTCCAAAGAACCATGAGCAAGACCTGCCTTTCTATCCGTGCAGCCCCATTGGTCCATCTCCTGCAGTTTTGATTTTCCAGGCCTTTTCCTTCATGGATAGAACCATGGCCGCTTGCTGACATGTGCCTCTGTGCGAGGTGCTGGGGAGAGGAAAAGGAGTAAGACCCAGCAGCTGCCGTGGAGAAGCATCCTAGCCGGGGAGACATGTGTCCGTGACTTGCAAGATTTTTTGGCACCGGCCACACTAAAACTGTTGCAGTGTACTTGCAAAGTGCTCACATTCTGCCCCTGTCTCTGCAACAAAGTTCTCATGAACCAGATTTAATAGATGTCACACCAGTGGTATTTTCTTCTGTGGTCTATTTGCATGTTGTTTTAAAAGAAGGACTGTAGCCTACAGTTGGAAAAAACCAGCAGGTACATCACAGTGGTAAGCACTCTGGTGAAGACACAGAGTGCCGTGGGATTTCCAAAGAGCAGCTTGCTCTGTGATGAGGAAGGCTTTCCCGAAGGACTTGCTTTAGAACTGGGGCTAAAGACAAGGACGTTTGCTAGGTGGGAGGTGTGGGGTGATTCTCTAAAAACTCACATGCCAAAGCATGAAAATGTGACAGAATGTCCTGTGCTTGGGAATGGCCGTACTTTGGCAGGACTTATAGCCCAGGGTGCTGCAGAGGTCAGGGCAAATTATAAAGGACTTTGTGAATTCTCGGGATGACTTTATCCTGAGAGCATCAGATAGTCAAGAGGAATATACATGTAATAGACAAACAGGACAGTAACTTGATTCATTGGGATTTCCAGATAATTCTGGCAGATGGGAGAGCGGGGATAGGCTGGTGGCAGGGAGATTGGCCAGAAGGCTGCTCTGGAATTGCCATACCTTTTCTAACACTGCCAGCTCTTCTCCGTGACATTGTCCCGTAAGACATGATCGGGCACCGGCCAGCCGTGGTCCACGGTCCTGTGCTCCTGCTGTTCGCCTCAGCTTGGGACAGCACGGGGAGGACTGGCTGCTGATTGTTTTGTAAATGAAAGAACCAGGACCCAGAGAAGAAGGTAGATTGACCCAGGTCCGCACCGGGAGTGTGACCGAGCTGGAACCGGAGCATGGGCCTCTGAGCTCCTCCTCTGTGCCGTTTGGGCATGAGCCGGTCAGCAGATGACCAGTTGGCACTATTCTTCTAGAGTCTCCTCTTCCCATATAAACGTGACCCGGGTTTTCTCCTCCTGGCTCTCAGGTGCTGCAAAAACCTTCCCTGTTTTAAAAAACTCCCAAATTACCGAAGCTGCTCCTTTCAGCTCTCACCACTGCCTTGACTTTTGTTCACTGCAGATCGAAGGCCCAGCTGTCCCCTTCTAGCAAGCGCAAGAGGGAAGCCAGCCCCCCCGGAGCCCGAACCAGAGGCCAGCAGAGGGTGGAAGAAGCCCCTTCAAAGAAGGCCAAGCGGTAATCCTGGCCTCCACTGCCCCTGGCTTGTCGGGGACACAGCCGAGAGAAGAGAATCAAGCCTTGGGGCCATAAGCTTTTTTTTTTTTCTTTTAACCAGGGAAAGGACATGCATGTGCTCTTAAGTTCCTAGGTGCAAGCTTTTTCTTGTTCTGTTTAAACAGCTTTATAAACTATTGTTCATAGAAGATATTATGTACATTTATTTCAGATAAAGGAAAATAAGTTTACTTTGTATCTGAACTCAAAACAAAGTAGTTGTATATTTTAACATTTGAAATCGGGATTTCCCGATGTGACACATCACTAATGCAAACCCTTCCAGCCCATCAGACACCAGGCTGCCTACTGGTAATCTGTGTACAGTATATAAACATGTAAAAATAGGTTGTATTTTACTCTATGTATGATGCTAATCAATGAACACTTTATTTATTTTACAGAGAAAACTTATCTGTGAACTTTACTATATATCTGTTTATTTTATTTTATTATTTTTTTTTTATAAAAAAGGGGTTTTAAATGCTATGCAGTCATTAGTAGAAATGTTTTAGGATGCTGCCTGCCTTGTAACTCTCTGAATATGATCTGGCAGGAAATACAGAACCTTCTCGCATGTATCCAAGTGAAGTAGTTTAGCTCAAGAAAGGGTCTGCATTGCTTCTCTGTTCACATTTGTGACTGTTTTTAAGAATGTAACTTGTTTTTAGATATGCTCGCATCTGTGACTTTACTTCCAGCCCCACTGGCGTGAGAGGTTCTGGTTCAGGTAAAGTTACATCCTGTCACCTGCAGCAAACATGCCTCTGTCACTGTTCGTTCCTCCCCTCTGTCCTCTTCCGAGGCTTCTGCCTGTTCTCCTTCCATACTGTCCTTTTCAGTGAAGGGAAACACATCGAGATTAGGTCACTCCTGTCTTATCAAGCTTCAGGATTTTATGTTGTTTTATACGCAGTTATTTTCAGACAGAAACTGGCTTTATTGCCAGATTCTTTTTTAAACATGTTTTAACTCCCATATGAACAAACTGTCCAGCTTAAGTTTTTCATAAAATTAAATTTTTCTTAAGATCAAATTTGTCTCTAGCAATGATGTGATGAGTTGCCAAATAATTGAGATTATTTTAAAATGTTTTGTTCATATTGTTTTATAATTAAAATTTACATCCAGTGTGTGTGTATTTTTTTTTGACTCTTAATGTAAGGTGGATATTTCTGTCATTTTACATGGTTTCTTACAAGATTTTATATATAAATTATAAAATGTTTCCAAAACTTGAGTGGTAAGAATTTTTTTTCTGTATTTTAAATTTTCTCCCTGTGGAAACCATTTCTTCTCTCCAAATACTTGGTCTTAGAAATGTTGTTCCATTTTCACGTTCAAATACGAGTCCGTGATGGCCTCTTGGTAGAATTGAATGTTGGATCTGGAAGGGACCTTGGAGACAAGGAACAAGATGAATTTAACCAAAGCCCAAAAAGCTAAAGTGATTTTTCTTAAAGTTAGTCAAGAGAAGCCAGGGTAGGTTCCCAGGCTCCAAAGTCCTTGACCAACAATCTTTGGACTGTGAGTTTGAGGTTGGTTCACCAGAAGTGCACACCTGAAGATGTGTTCCCAGCGTGAGAGCAGCGTGTTCAGCTTAGTCACGGCTGTTCTGGGCCTGACCTCACAGGGACTAGGCAGCTGGGTTGTGAGGAAATGCTGCCTCCTAATAAGGTTGGAACTAAATACTTTGGCACTGGCATACGGAACTTCCTGGCGTTAACTAGACCATTTGGCTTCCAGTTGTTCTGAAACCCAGGTAGGAAGGAGATGCCGTCCTGGGGGCCCCGGGCACTGCTGCAGTCCTTGGTCGTCATGATAACGTGGTCCTGTAGTACAAGGAAGTTGAAGGAAGTTGTAGTAGAAGGAAGGTTGGCAATGCTGCACCTTGTGCGGTGCACAGAACGGCCCTCGCCTCCACGCAAACGTGTATGCCAAATGCCCGTAGCCTCCCCTGCAGACGCACAGGAACACCAGGCCATCGCCGTCCTCGCCACTGCCTGGTCTCGGCTCACGGCTCCTCCACGAACAACCCGGACAGCAGCATGTCTGCTTTCCCCCTCTCGGACCTGAGACGGGGCTGGGACAAGCCAGCAAGAGCGCCCCTGATTGAAAGTGACGGGGCTAATTCCTCTTCAGCGGAAGCTGGTAGCCCACAGCCACAGTCCCCTCCCTCCTCCAGGCCCCTCAGCATTACGACCCTCGGCCACCACCACCACCTGGACTGCTTAAAGACTAGAACCTGCTAACTATGGCTTGTCCTAAGCACCCCAATTAGAAATGGCCATCCCGTGGCGTTCCTCTTCCTGACAGGATCTCACACTCAGAGTGGTCGGTGGCAAAGCTGGGACTGAGCGCTTCTGACCCCCAGGTCAGGGTTCTTTGTGCGAGGCCCCACAGGAGGGGCACTGACGCACCTCAGCAGCAGGCCCACCAACCTGAGGACCGTCATCTAGTGGAGGTTTACCCCAAATATCCTTGCAACTGATAAACCTAACCGATTTGAGATTGGGGGGTTGATTCGAATTCAGAAATGCTGAAAAGGATTGCTTTCTGTGTTTTATTTTCATGTCTCTCTTTTTTTTTTTAAAGATTTATTTATTTATTTGAGAGCGAGAATGAGAGAGAGAGAGCATGAGAGGGGGGAGGGTCGGAGGGAGAAGCAGACTCCCCGCCGAGCAGGGAGCCCGACGCGGGACTCGATCCCGGGACTCCAGGATCATGACCTGAGCCGAAGGCAGTCGCTTAACCAACTGAGCCACCCAGGCGCCCTATTTTCATGTCTCTTATTGATCCTATGTGCAAGAGCACTTTACATTTCCCCAAATGACTGCTTAGCTATCATCGTATGATTAAATCGAGAACAAGGTGGTTTTCATTATCCACGGACAGACGCTTCTCTCTGGGGAAGGAAATGGTTTTAGAGCCGCATCTGCCCACTGGTGAGCTCCTGCGCCACGCCCAGCACCAGGGATGCAAGTCTCGAGGGGTGACAACCCCACGAAGCAGACAGCTCTGCTGCACTGGGATTTGTGTCCAGTCACGGGACACGGCAGGGGAAGAAAATTTCCTTCCTAAGGGAAGCCAGATGAAGGACTAACTCCTGACGGACAAGAGGAAGAGTGGGGTTTTTGGTTTGGTTTGGTTTGGTTTGGTTTTAAAGTACAAAATAGAGGGGTTTTTTTTGTTTTGTTTTTTAAGATTTTATTTATTTGACAGAGAGAGACACGGCAAGAGAGGGAACACAAGCAGGGGGAGCGGGAGAGGGAGAAGCAGGCTTCCCGCCGAGCAGGAAGCCCGATGCGGGGCTCGATCCCAGGACCCTGGGACCATGACCTGAGCTGAAGGCTCGATCCCAGGACCCTGGGACCATGACGCTTAACAGACTGAGCCACCCAGGCGCCCCTAAAATAGACCTTTAAGAAAAGTTAGAACCTAGAGAAGAGAACATTTTGAAAGCTGAGCATCGGGGAGAACTGGAGGTGATGACAGGTGCTATTTTTACCACCAAGTCAACCTTCCAGAAACTTCCTGGAGAAGATCCATACAGATAATCACAATATAGCTCTACATCACACAGAACACTAGTCCCAAGAGCTACTCCTCACACTGCAGCCCTTCTGAGAAATTCATGGGACACATTACTAGTACACATAAGTTTCCAAGAAATCGGGTTAACTTTTTCCATTGTTATGAAACCTAAAACCCGTTTCCTTCACCCCAACACACATTCGTGCACACGCAAACTTAATTCAACATCCATGGAAATTGATGATACACAAAACTTTGAAAACTATTCACTCAGTTGTGAACAGCCCTGTGAAGGCTGTGAAGGAGTATCAGACCCCCTACTTTACAGCTGGGAGAGGTGAAGCTCAGAGGTTACAGAACTCACTTTTAAGAACACACGCATTCCACGTTGCTAGGACTGGAACCGGGATGCCGTGAGTCTCATCAGAGTTTTCTCCACAGAGCGGCCCCGCCAGGGCCTGCCGTGGCAGGACCCGGGTGACCTGTGGGCGCACGTCGGCTACAGTTCCGTCACATTCTCTTAGTTGTATGCTTGACTTTTTTTTTAACAGATCATATAAAATCTGAATGTTGCTAAATAACAGTATTTTTGCTCTCAAAGTAATGCCTTTGTTGTAGAAAAATTTAAAAAAAAAAAACAGTAGGCAAAGATGACAAAAAATCACTTACAAACCCACAAGTCAGATATACTATTTCTTTGATAGCCAATTCCTCCAGACTTTTCTATTTATATATGTGCAAAACTCATATACTATATTTCATCTCATCTAAGATGCTGTTGACTATAAAATGTATCATTACTTTATGTACTGCTAAGAAAAAAAAAAAAAACCTAAAAGTATGACACAAAAATTAATCACAGTCTCACCAGATATGTGAATCCCTCATGGCCACTTGTGTTGCTTTGAAATGTCTTTCCTCTTCTCCAGGGGATTTGATGATTCCTCTCGCCGTTAGCTGTGCGCCTGGGAATGCACCTGGTTCCTTTGCAAGAAAAGGTGAGATCCCAGGTATTTCTCCAACACTATTTACCTCCCTGACATAAAATGTATTTCTTAGCCACCAGGTTCCTGTGACTTTCTGAGTCCACAGTACTTCTGGTTTGATGTCAAATCATAATGAAATCTTTTTAAAGACATTTTAAATGGTGTTTAAAATCAAAGCGCATAGAATCAATGATGCACATAATTAAGTGACAGCAGTATCAACAGTTAGAAACAAGAACACACGTGACAACAACAACTATAGCCTAAGTGCTACTTGTTCAGTAGCAATTTTAAGATACTTTCTAATTTCACAGGTGTTAAACTGTGGGAGGAAAACGTGTGCCTTCAAATCAGTGAAATATGTAGATACATTTTTTACAAAAATGAGATTTTATGTATCTACCTTTTTATGCCCTTTTAAAAATATTATACAACTCGGGCGCCTGGGTGGCTCAGTCGGTTAAGCGACTGCCTTCGGCTCAGGTCATGATCCTGGAGTCCCGGGATCGAGTCCCGCATGGGGCTCCCTGCTCGGCGGGGAGTCTGCTTCTCTCTCTGACCCTCCTCCCTCTCATGCTCTCTGTCTCTCATTCTCTCTCTCTCAAACAGAGAAATAAAATCTTTAAAAAAAAAAACAAAAAACAATACCCAAACTATGGAGAGAGCCCACATGTCTGTCGACAGATATTATACAACTTTATGGATTATTTCTTATAATCAAAAGGATAGAGAGCTTTTACATATATATATAAAATATATGTACATACATATGATATATATGCAAGTAGGTAATAAGAATATTATATGTCTAACATATATGACATGTAAGTATGGATATATCATGTGTATATGCACGTGATATAAGATTATATATAATGTATATATGCACATACATATAATGTACTTATATATGTGCAACACATGATATAAACAACTGGTTTTTAAAAATCCCATTTACCCACCCTTCAGCCCGAGACAGAGAATAATAGCAATACCTTGGATGCTTCCGCACGTCCCCAAGGCTACCAACATTCTAAATATTTCATTTTACTACATATGTATACAACCCTACACATTTTAAGTTGTGAATGTTTTTACACTTTACATAAATCATATTTTAAGGATCATTTGAGACATGCTTTTTTCTTTTACACTGTGTTTTGAAATTCATCTCCAGTGATGGAGTAGTTAGTTCACTTTCACTGCTGTCTAGTATTCCACTGAAAGCCGGTATCGCAATATAGTAAAGCCATTTAATTGCCTGGTCCTGGTCTTTGTGCTATTCCCAGGGTTAAACAATGGTGCTATGAGCATTCTATGAATATGTTGTAGGCAGACCTTCCCAAAGTTATTAATATCATTGTACATACAGAAAATTATATTTGTAGGCACACAGAAGTAAGCAGAGGGACCAGGCTGGTTGCTGCCTGAGGAGACCATCAGCCTGTGAACCAGAGGACCAGGTCAGCCAGCCACTCTGATGACTAGAAAATCAATATGTCCCCATTTTCCACACCAAGACACACCCAGCTTTCTGCTCCAGGGGTAAAACTACTAATGTCTAGAGTAAGAATGTTTTCAGCTTTGCAAGGAAACGTCAAAGGGTCCCCCAAATGTTTTTACCACTGTGTACTCCTACCAGCTGGATACTTCTCTTGCTTGACACTTTGTAAGTTTAGGACTTCTCGATTTTTGGCTATTTGGG